CGCGCCTGTTCGGGTTTATTTGGGGACGATCTAACTAATTTCTCTTAGTTAGTTTTACTATATATAGATTTTCTTTCTATTTTTAGGGGGAGTTGAATTTTTCAGAAATTAGAATAGAATTAGGTTAGATTTTTAGAGAGAGAAACTCTAGTTTGTAGAGAGAGAAGTTCTTGATTGATGATTGAAGATTGATGATTTTAAGTGTTTTTCTCCATTGCATTGAAGCAAGTTTGTAAGGATTTCTTTACTTTAATGCAATCTTTGTTTTGATCTCAATTTCTTTGTTAATTGTTCATGTTGATTGATTTTTGAATTGGTATGTTTTTTATGATTATGATGATGATGAATATGTTGTTTAGTTTAGTTTTGATAATGATTTCCATGAATAGTGAGTAGTTGTCTTGCTAGGGAATTGGTGAAACATATATGAGTAATCGATTTATGCTAATTGGGGGGAATTGATGGAGTTGATGTTGTGATTAAATTGGTTGATTGATTATGTGCATGTGTGTGTTTAATTTAGGAGTGATCAACCTAAGTTTCTCATAATAGATTGCATTATATTGTAGGTTCACATTGATACGGAAAATTGATTTGTGGCTTACATTTGTCGATTGAGTAGGTTTGCAAGTTTCCTAGTTAGAGTCTCTCGTAGTTGGCGCTAGTTTGACCTCTAGGAGATTAGCCAACCATATTCTCTTGATTGCTTAATCGATTTTCCCTCGCAGCACTTGACTTAGTCATCTCCAATCCCAATTAGTTGAATTAATTATGAGTATATGTGGATCCATACCCTAGTGCTTGATAAATTTGATTAGTAGAATAGACATACCTCACCTCTTTTGCTTCGAAATAACTTATCTTTGACTTTAGCATTCACCTCCCATTCCTAGTGGTTCGACCCTCGACTTACTCTATGCTTGGTATAAGGGTGTGTTGAGAGATTATAAATTGTGTTTTGACCAAGGGTAGATTAGTTTTCAACGACCTAGTCTCGCCCTAGATCACTTATGTATTTCTCTCTCTACCTTCTAATTCTTTGAAAGACAATTTTGTTCTTCGATTTCGCTAATCTATTTCATTGATTTTGCTTATCTATTTTGACGAATTCTTCACTTTCGTTCGTCATGTTGGTGAATTTGGTGTGATTTGATCATTTCTGTAGAGGTAATTCTTCCGACTTAGCTTTTTTTGAGTTAATTATATTTATTAGGGTTTTTCACATATTAAATTCGTCTATTTGTTCTTGGATCTTCGTTGTTGGCAAATTATGAGCAAGTAAGTTACTTGGTTTAATTTGGGAGGAGTTTAAGATGATTCCTGCCTTGTCTTAAACTTAGTAGATTAATTGGTTTGTTTACTTTAAATAGTTTTCTATTTACCTTTAAGTAATATTAATTTACTACAAATGTAATGTTTAATCAACCAATGATGATGGGAAGATAAGTGTGGGAATGGAGGTTCATAATTGCTTCAAATTAGTGTATTGCCTATTCATTTGTTGTTCGTGGATGTGTTTGGTTTAATTTTTTTTTTAAAAGTTGTTGGGTTTTTTTTTATTGCTTTAATTTGTTGCACGCTAAGTGTTCGATGAAATTCCTGACATAATGGAATGAATGTTATACTAGATTAAGTTTGGTATTCCAATATTTGGACAAATCAAAGATGAGATCACTCAACAGCTAAAGAGTAAGACTGAGATATAACAATACTGACATTTCTGACAAGGCAATTTACCTAACTGCTAAAATTACCAAACCTATGCTTATGGAGCATTTTGTGTCGATATCTGCAACTTATACTGAGGGAATACCGACTTTCATTCATAACTATAGGGAATATTTCAAGCATCCCACACTTGAGCCCCACTGTGATCATACACTTAAGCATAGTGGCGTCCAAAGGGAAGGAAGCTAGAGTAAAAGAGTCATTAACAAGCTTTAGGAACTTGTAAACCGTTCACAGGGTGAAGATTACAACACTTAACGATCCAGGAGATCATTAACTAGAGTCACTAACAAACTTTAGGAACTTGTAAACCGTTCACAGGGTGAAGATTACACCACTTAACGATCCAGGAGATCATTAACTCCAATAGGTCTAGAACCATGACTAGAAGTTCGAGGGATGAAGGTACTAATCCAACCTAAAAGAGATTGAACTTGCCCTAAAAATAGGCCTCTACTTTATTCTTCTCGTATTCATGTGCGCTTTCTAACTAACGTGCAATCATTAGGTTAACCCTAAACCTGTTTAATCTATGTTGGTTGAATATTAATGCACAAACAAATCTATTATTGGCAATCACTTGAATTATAATCTTATTAGCCTAAACAAGATTATTAATTATCTTATTAAGCGTGATTACAAGTACAAATTCCCTTTAAACATGCATAAAAGGTGTGATCAAGTAATGAATAATAATAAAATATCAAGCAACAATAATAATATCAATCATCATAATAATCATGTTAATAAAGCATAATAATAATAATAGCAAGATCCTAGGCATGATACTAACAAAATTAATAACAAACCCTAGCATGTCACTAGACATTAAAGATCAATAAGCCCTAACATGATACTAACATGATATTAGGAAAGAAATAGGAAGCATCATAATAATAATAGAAATATTAGTTAACCCTAAACATGATACTAGGAAGCAATAAAACATCCTAACATGTACTAGGAATCAATAAAACAATCTAAGCATGATTTCTATATTAAAAGAATAATAAATAAAGAAATTACTTACTTAGATGCCTCTTACCTCTTTCTAATAACAAAATACACACGTTAGTAACTTCAAGGAAAATATTAAACCAAACAATTAAATTAAATAATTAAAAGAGGGATTTGGGACCAAACCCTTAGAATTATGAAATCTTTCACGTCTAGGGCGAAGGCAACTTCGAACTTGGCTAGGTGTGTCTAGAACTAATGTATGAGGAATTTCAAGAGAGGGAAGGTTTAGAAAAAGAATATAAAGAGAAAGCTTCTAGCTTTTAGAGAGAGAATAGAGAGAGATGATGGTAGTGAATGATGAAAAACGGGAAGATACAACCCCTATTTATAGAAAAAAAATAGTCCGGAAACGATAGAAAAGAGTTCGAGTCCAATTTAAAAGACCTCTTGTCGCCAACGACAGGAGTTAGCGCCAGACGACAGGAGCAGCGCTAGGTGACAGGTAGTAGCGCCAGGCGACAGACTCTGTCGTTTGGTGTTGGGATAGTTTTTTGTGGATTTTGTTTTATCATATCTTTTGATCCAAAAGTCCAAATAAGTAATATAATATGTCGTTGGAAATCTCTTGAAGTCTACTTTACAACCCAATTAGAATCAGATTAAAATATTTTGTAGAAAAAAATATATATCCGAAATAGTGGAAGGGTGTCAGTTTGGATGTAGTTTCGTATTTCTTCATATCTTTTTCGTTATAGCTCGGAATTAATAATATAATGTATCATTGGAAAGATAATTTCAAGATCTACCCAACATAATAAGATTTGGATTAAGATTATGTGGCACAAAAATAATATCTGACTGTCTTTGAACATCTTTAAATTCGAATAGAATTAGGATTTTAAAAAAGGAAAGTTTTATTCAATTTCAAATTATTTGATTTTATCTTTTCAAAAAGGATAAATAAGATCTTTTAGAAACTTATGGAAGTTTCTAATTAATCCTAATTAGTTTAGGAACAGGATTAAACCTTTGGACCCTGCACATTATTATTGGGTCGTAGGTAAAATTCGGTTTGGGCCTAGTTTAGTATTTTGGCCATAAGTTCCTCATTATTTATCGGAATTGGGCTTATAATATATCGTTGGAAAGATCTTTTGAACCCATCCAACTACACTGTTATTGGACCCATATCATGGAACAAACTAAATTGGACTGCACGTTTTTCATTAATAGGGTAAGAAAAGAAATATTTTCAAAAATAGAAAGAAGAGATATTTTAATAAAAACATCCTAATTACTAAACTTTTCACACTTTCACTTCGTTCGATAATCAAGTGACGTGAAAGGTATTCATCACTGGGTTTGGTTTTGGGGATACACATTTGGGTGTCTATAGAAGCCCCCACTTTAACTGAGTTAGGAGAAACGCAAGTTTTGAAAACAAAAGTCAAAGTAGTGATAGAAACGGAGAATGATTCAGAACGTTCTGCAATCCTAAATCATTCTTGTAACGCCCATACCTGCAAACTAGCGTTGGTCAAACAGATAAGAAAGTCAAGAAACGCGTATCTTGCACCGTTGAGTACATGTCTCTGGAGTAACCGATTTTGTTTGACGATCCTTCTCAAGCTGTGGGAGATCACCTGAAGAATGCTCCGCTTGTAGCTGCCTTCAATTTCCGTTGTTTTATGACCATCTTCCACATCCTAGGGAATACGATCGAAGATAACTCCGCTTGTAGTCACTTCATGTTTTCTGACAACCTTTCACATCCTAGGGAATATCATCGATTAATGCTGCTACATCTCGAGCTTTTTTCTTGAATCACGGTGACAACTTTCCCAATCATAGCAAATTTCGTCGAAGACACTAGTACATAACTAACCTTAAGTAACACCTAAAAAATGTTACATAAAGTGGTAAAAATGTTATTATAGGCCATAGGTAACACTTTAATGAGTGATACATCCGCCCATGTTACCTAAGGTATTATGTAACATTTTGGCTAACATATGGTAACACTTTTAAAAGTGTTACTACCAACCCTCTTATGTAACACTTTTTTATATTATTAGTACCATTTTTAAAGTGTTACTTTTATTTCCTAAGTAACACTTAATTATCTTTAGTAACATTTTTCAATCATATTGTAACACTTTATTCGACATTATGTATCATTTTTGCAAACTAATGTAACACCTTATAAATTAATAAGTAACATTTATTATTATTATTATTATTATTATTATTATTGTTAGAAATATAAAAGTAATATTAACATGTACAATAACCACAAATATGAAAGTAACATATACGATAGATAATAATTTCAATTGATATAATTCATAGTTTCTTACAATAAAAAAACATCCATTAATAGCAGTTTGTATGTTTGGCTAAACACTAATAATAAAGAAAAAAGAAAGCCAACTTCAATCTCTAGATCAGACCCAAATTCCAATACAAAAAGGTAAAATAACCCAACGTAGTTAGCCAACAGACAGTAGTAATAACAGAAGCTAGCGGTAACAGCGCTTCAATCGCAACTAGCAATAACAACGCGTAAATCACAACTAGCAGTAACGGCGGGTAGATAGCAGCAGCAGGCAGTAACAACAGACGACAATACCATCAGTAGTTAACAATAGCAGCAGACGACAATGACAATAACAAGCATCAATAATAGTAGTAGGCGACAATAACACGCCTGTAGAAATAGAAACCAACAACTGTTAATATTCTAGCTTTATTAAAATTAAAAAAAAAAAAAACATCAAAGCTAATCTATCTCTAATTGCCTTCAAATAAAATATCAAAATATTGAGCAGCTCCTTGCCACAGTGCTTTCATAAGATTCAGTATACTCAAAAGAACTCTTGCATTCCTAGATGTAAGATACATAAGAGAAGAAAATTAATTAGGAATAACTTTTTTTTGGTATGGAGGGGGAATACAATTTTATTAGCCTACAACATAGATATACAATGCATCACTCTAATTACCTCTCAATAAGTGTAACATATTTATCAGCATAAAGCACAAGCATATCCACTAGATGCATTGCATTATTAGATCGATTTCAAAGCCTGGGAAGTTGAATAACATCCCTTTTCATTTATATTACCATGAGTCCGTGAATGAGCAGGCTTCACGAGAAGTATAGTAAACAAAGTGAATAGACACCACAGCAGGAAGACAGTAAGATGTGGTACCAGATAAGTGGTAACATAAAACTGAAAGTAGAGACTTACATGCTTGCTTTTCATTCTAATTGGAAGAGAATTAAAACCATGATAAGCGGGAATATAATTGCACAGACCAACAAACTCAGATGAAAATTAGAACTACAGTTATGCAAGGTACTGCACTACTACATAGAAATTAGAAAAACCTGTCATGGCAGCCTAAATTCAATGCCGAATCTAATTTATAAAATATTCAACGAACATAATAAAAAAAAATCATTTACATTATGAAAAAGAGTTAAATTAGCTAGTTAGCACCTAGTATTGTCTAAAGCTGACTATCTCATATGGTGGACCAAGCTCGATTATACCATGCCTACAAAAAGCACAAGGTTTATCCGATCAAATATTTTATAATAACAAAAACCCAAGTTCTCTAAAGTTTGGCTCCGTTTGACTTGCAAAGATTTTCAAGATGCAAGTAGCATGTGCCTCGGTTTATTTAACTGATGAAAACAAAAGAAGCCAATAAGGATGATCTACTCAACATACATTCAAACTAATTCTACTACACAACCATTGCTTTAAACTGTACTGCTAATTCAAATAACTATTTCAACTAATATGAATGTTAATCTGAAAATTTTAATAATAAAAAAAAACTTTAAACTCATTAAAATCAAAATTGCTTCAATCTTTTAAAATTTTAATTAATTTGAACCAATTCAATTCATTACCTTCAACTAATTAAAACTCATTTAATCTCTTGCAAACTTCTCTAGTAAAATACCCTACATTTAGCTATAATATAATACAGAAAAATTTAAAAGTTTAAGCTCTAATTGCTAAAATACCCTACTTTAATTCTTCGACAATCGATCTTCGAAAAAAACAAATATGTCTTCAGCCATCTAAATTCGAAAATCTGAAATAGACTTAAGATTTTTTTTTTTAAAAAACCTTAATTTAACAATCGAAAATCTTAATTAATAATTAATTAAAAAAAAAATCAAGCAATTGGAACAAGAAAAAAAAACCCTCAATTTGAACAACAACATATCAATAATCAAAAGAACCAACAAAAAATTTATATATTACCTGAAACAAAAAGTCCGACCCACTTCGTGAGTAGCAACGACCGTTAGGAATACTAGATCGACATACGACTGATGAAGAACGTGTAGATTGTTAATTTGTCACTCAAGTACTCAACCCGTATGCTTGTGCGGTATCCACCTTCATTGGCCATTGGGTTGGGACGTGAGGTGGCCGGCGAGGCCATCGTTGGCTAGGGTGGGAGTCGACGTGGGATTACTGGTGGGGTGTGAGTGATAAACTGATGAATTTTTATTTGAGACCTCAGACGTCGGAACAGGGAATTGGTAATTGAAAGAGTATGTAGGAAAGAGAGAAGTCAAATACTTCATAAGAATGTTTATTTTTATTTATCTTTTATTATTTTTGAACATCAACCACCAATATCAAAGTGGTACAAGACTTACAATTAAAATGTTACATAAAAATATATAATCAAAGGGTTACAATCAAGTGTTACCTAATATTAAAGTGTTACAATCAAGTGGTACCTAAAATAAAAGTGTTACAACCAAATGTTACATAAAATTAAAGTGTTACATGGGTGTTACTTATATTCAATTAACTTTATAACTTAAAAAGTGTTACTATTTGGTGTTACTTAAATTAAGGTCACTTTTGTACTAGTGAGACCACCTCATCACGAACTGTTCTTCTCAAATCTAAGTGACAACCTCCACAATCTTATTGAACGCTGTCGTAGACCGCCCATCTCGTGCTATCTTCTCAAATCTAGGTGACAACCTCCACCATCTTAGCGAACGTTGTCGAAGACCTCCCATCTCGTGCTATCTTGTCAAATCTAGGTGACAACCTCCTCAATATTAGCGAAAGTCGCCGAAGACTGCCCATCTTGTGCCATCTTCTCAAATCTGGGTGAAAACCTCCTCAATCTTAGCGAACGTCGTCGAAGACCGCCCATCTCGTGCCATCTTCTCAAATCCATATGATAATTTCCATCATCTTAGCGAAAGCTATAAAAAATTGCTTCATCTCGAATCGTTCTTTTCTCGAATCAAATAATAACCTCCCTAATCATAGTGAAAGCTATCGAAGGTTATTTCATCTTGAACCATCCTTCTCAAATCCAAGCAAGAGACTCTTTTAATCTTAAAGCCTCATATTGAAAACTTCTTCATCTTGAATTTTCAAATCTTCTTGTCTTTACTTTAAGGAGTAATCGACCTTTCTAGCTTTGGGAAGTACCTTATCTTGAGATTCTTCGATCTTAAAGTCAATCTCTGTAGAAATATCCATCCTAGGAATCTTTTGTGATTACAATCAATCACTAACCAAATTAGTTTTCAAATTTGCGTAATCAATATACAATCGATAATTTGATCGTCATCAGGCCGATCATCAATCAAGACCGTAATCGGGCCGACTACTAATCAAAGGTGTCAAAAGTTGATCATTCAATATGATCGTCATCAAGCCGATCACTTACTGCGATTGTAAATAAGCTGACTACTAATCATGTTAATTTGCTTATAGGGGCTAACTGGCGTACCAAGGAACCCGAAATTACTACATGAGGTCCACATAATCTAATATGGGGGCCACGTATCTTGTTGTCGCACCAGCGCGCGCTGGTGTATATTTTTGCCATAATTTCACATCTGCCGCCATACGACAAAGACCAACGCTAGACGACAATCTTGTCGTTTGGCGATAGTCAAGTTTTTGAAATAAAACCCCTTTCTTCTCCATTTTTGCTGCTTCTGCTGTTCGTTTCTCGGTTGTACTCCAAACCTTCAACTTGGTCGTCTCTTTTCAACCAAATCTGCTCAAATCTTTTGCAAATTAAAGCTCTTCATCTCTAATTTGCCAATCCATGTAAGTTTTGCTCAAACTCCTCTTATCTTGGAAGAATTTCACATGTTTATTATTCGCGTTTTTTTCACAAAATCCTGGAACATCCTTGCTTTCTTGCTCGCTCTTAGGAAGTGATAGCTTCCTATGCCTTGAAACTCTATCGAAAACCGAGTCCAAGTTAATTTTCGTAGAGATTTTTCATCTTGGGAAATTTGCGAGGTGCTTGATCAAAATCCGGATGTGCTCAATCAATCAGGTTGATCGTCAATCTAACTGCAATCAGGCCGACTCTTGTTGATTTGCTAAGCCATTTGCGTCCTTTTGCTTCAAATCTTTTGTACCTGCATTTATATTTTGGACTATAGGACTTTGCTCATCTTTTCTTTTTTTAGGGTTGACTTAAGGCTTAATGTTGCTTGACTCGTTGCATATGACTTGTCATGACTCGACTCAAAGCGTTTTGACATACATGGCTTGACATGACTCAAGGTGTAAACTTGACTTAATGTGATTCACTTCGTGTGACTCGTGTGTGCAAAGTGTTGACTCATGTAGAAAAACAAAAAAAAAATACCGACTTTCTCCCGAGAAAAGAAAGAAGTAAAAAGAAGAAGTGAAGTTTTTGAAGGTGCATGTTGAATGAGCTTAGTCAAGTGTAGGCGTCGACATTGTATATCATAGGTTTCCACGTTGTATCTCATAGTGCAAGGATTGTAACATCCTAGATTATCCTAGTTGACTCGATAGTGAAAGTATTTAGGTAACTTAGGCACGGAGGCTAAGTACTTCTTTAATGATGCAATGATGAGTGATTTTGATATGACAAGGCATGCTTCAACATTAGACTTTATGAAAAAAGGTTCCTAAGAGGTGGATTATTTGGTCATGTATCTGTGACGTGTGTGAAAGTGATACTAAAGTTAGGCTGCAAAGGCTAACGGTATGAAAAAGTATTATTTCAAGAAGAGTCAAATGATGGTGACTCTTAGTCTAGGTAAGCTAATGATGTAGGGATCAAGCCCCCAAGTGTAGCTCTAAATGGAAAGGGATGAGCATCGGAGATCCCTTGATATGATCAATTATGAAAGTAAATATGAATGCATTTTTATTATGGCCACACCTCAATGTGAGGTTGCCTACGTATCCATTAGGAATCAAGTCGAACGTAGCTCTAGCCGAACCTCCCACAAGTGTGTGTATACCTCAAAGAGATCTTTTAAGGATTGTAATGTGGTTAGGCTAAAGTTAAAGAAGAAGGGGATAAAAGCTCAATACCCTAGATTAGCCCCCAAGGTGTGCAAACTTGTTTTTGAAATCATTATATTTTTATGTTTGAGGTTTCCTCACCTTTTAACTCTCTTTCTTTTGTTTATTTTTTGTTCTCTCTCTCTCTCTTTATTTTTTTATTTTTATTTTTTTTTGCTTTTACATTTTTTGATAAGCGTGGGCAATCTCGATCATGCGGTCTATCACTCACTTGGCATTCATGTTTCTCAGGCACGGTACCAAGCACTCGATAAGAGACACAATCCGAGACGTGTTCTTATCCAAGACATGTTCATGTCAATGACATTCGAACACTTGCCCTTTTGTACACTTTTATTATTTTTGCTTTTAAAAATAAATCACTCAAGCTTTTATTCTTTGAAAATTGCATAAATTGCACACCATTCCATCCCAAGGTTAGGTATATGTGGGTCTAAAAAAAAAGGTCTATCTTTAGACGAGGCTCAAAGTGGTTTATCAAGAAAGGATGTATATTTAAAGGGTGAAAGGTGATATGATAGGCTACAAGGGGTGCCTTAAATCATTGGTATACCTTGTGCTTAGTTCGACATAGTTTTTTTTTTAATGCAATGCAATGCGATGATCATATGCGAGAAAATAAATGCTCAGTTTATTAAAAGGTAGAAAAGGAAAAAACCTACAAAATAAGATCTAAGGAGAATAAAAGGTTTCTATGCTAGACTTATTGGGGAAAGGATGAATAAAAGAAAAAGGTCACAAAATCTTGTTGTTGAAGCTCGCCTCGTGTCTTGCGCTCTTATTATCACTTGGTCTTCTTGCTAACTAGAGGTATGGGAAGCTTGTTATTATCGATCAAGTATTGGATGGCCTCTTTTAGCTTCCAACAGCTCTCAGTAGTATGACCCCTACTTTAATGGTACTTGCAATGTGAATCCGGGTTCCAACTAGGAAATCTCTTCTCAGGTGCGGGATCTTGAATAGGTCCAATGGGAGTAATGAGTCCCTTGGCATGGAGTCAATCGAAGGTAGTATCATAGCTCATCCCAATACGATTAAAATCTTTCCTTAGTTGCTTTTTAGATCCTTGATTTTCCATGGCTAAGACTTCATTGAGATCAAAGGTACTAACATTGTTACTAGAGTGGGCGTTTTCGACAGAAGAAGGATTGTCGTTGTTCTTTACTTTCCAACCACTGTTGTTGCTATTGTTAGTACCTTTTTGCTTTGCAAGGTCATCTTCAATTCCAATACCTATGTGATAGACGGCTTTGAAAGTATTCAAGTTAAGTTGATATTTCAAATGCTTCGAATACTTGTCTTGAAGGTTCTTGATGAACGTCCTTACAGACTCCTTTTCAGTAGGGATCGAAGTGAATCTTTCGTTTTCCTTTTGCTTTAACATCTCAAGTTGTCTATGGTCTATTTCAAGTTGAATGTTGCACTTATATCTATCAATGAAAGCATTTATTATTATATCCCAAGTAGAGGTCTTCTCTTTATCAAGAGAAAAGAATCAATGTTGACGTTGGTTTCTAGAGATAGTGAGAACAAAGAGTGAAAAATATTCCTATCAATTCCCTTAATATTCATTATAGTTTCAAAAGCCCTTAAATGAAAATGAGGATTGTCTGTTGGCTTGAACTTAGGGATGTCACTAGCATTAAACTTCTGCGGAAGAAGTTCCTTGTCCACTAAGACCCCTTGTGAGCTAATTCCTTGGAACCTATAATCATTGGATAGTTTGCTCAAGCTTTCTTGCATTAGATCGACTCATGCATGAACCTAAGACATGGTCATGATGACATATACACAAAGTGTGTGCTAAGGCTAGTGAGTATAGGTGACATTTTTTACTCGTGTCATGACCATGGGACTAGACTAAGTGACTAGACTTAATTAAGGACTAAGCTAAGACTTCACGTATGTGCACTAAACTGGACAGGCTGTAGTATTTTAGTCATAATTTTTTATCCGCGACTCCGAATGGAACGAAACCAACGCCAAATGAAAGATAAAACTCGGGGCTACAGATCCAAAGATTGTATGACTCGTTACTCTTCCTAGAACTCCGGATATGACCAAAACAAGTTGACGTTTGTGTAGTATACGGGAATAAAAATTCGGGTTGGCTCAAAGGAACTATGACTCGATTTTAGACATATTTATTAGCTCAAATTAATTAATCAATTGATTAAGAAAAGTCCTTTAGTCCTTGATTAGTTTATTTAAGCTTATTCATAATTACAAGTCAAACCAAACGGTTAGTTTAATCACATGTAGGTTATGCACAAGCAAATAATGCACAAGTAGTCAAGTAGTCACAATATAATGCAATGAATTTGCAACCTAACCATGTCTCTAGTTCTATAAAGTATAGGATATGGGTTAGTAAAAAAGGGTCCATGGTTATGAGTCCGAATGCACCGCGCGGAAGCCTTACCTTAGGAAGGGTTGGCGCGAGTGGATGGGACCCCGCGAGTTAAACTCGCTTCCATGGTTGGGTGAATTCACAAACTCGGATGTACCCGTCATTGCCAAGATCGTTCGATTGGGTAGATGGAGCGTGAATTCCCAGAGGTTTATGGTCATATGTAGAACACATATGAGTTTCAGAAAAAAGGAAAAAAACTCAATCAGGAAGTAAAACCGAGCAAACAGTACTAGAAAACTAATCGAAACAAGAAGGTAGATTTCTGGCTAGGTATTAGAAGAATTTGGCACGAGAAAACAGAGTATGTCGCCAGACGATGCCACTGTCACCAGACAACAATTCCTATCGCCGGGCGATAATTCCTACATGCCTCGGCAGCTTTCTGTTCTTGAATTTTCCAGTTTTTTTGTAGCGTTATTTCGACTTTAGTTGTGAAAGATATTTCCCTAATTTACTACGTGTAAAAATCCTATGTTTTTTATGCATTACGGATGGTCTTTCCAATGCAAACCTTTTTATGCTTATGCCAATAATGTTAATCAAAATTACGCACATGAAATACTTAGAACTTTTCGAGTCTCATCCACTCATTCTAAATTATTGCCAAAATAAATTTTAGGAATTAAAATAGAAATCCTCCCCAGTGGAGTCGCCAAAACTCTATAGGGAATATTTCAAGCATCCCACACTTGAGCCCCACTATCTATGATCATACACTTAAGTATGGTGGCGTCCACAGGGAAGGAAGTTAGAGTAAAGGAGTCGCCAACAAGTTTTAGGAACTTGTAAACCGTTCACAAGATGATGGTTACGCCCCTTAACGATCCAGGAGATCGTTAACTCCAATAGGTCTGGAACCATGACTGGAAGTTCGAGGATGAAAGTACAAATCTAACCTAAAAGAGATTGAACTTGCCCTAAAAATAGGCCTCTAATTTATTCTTCTCGTATTCATGTGTGCTTTCTGACTAACTTGCAATCATTAGGTTAACTCTAAACCTGTCCAATCTATGTTGGTTGAATATTAATGCACAAACAAATCTATTATTGGCGATCACTAAACAAAATTATTAATTATCTTATTAAGCGTGATTACAAGTACAAATTCCCTTTAAACATGCATAAAAGGTGTGATCAAATAATGAATAATAATAATATATCAAGCAACAATAATATGATCAATCATCATAATAATTATGTTAATAAACCATAATAATAATAGCAAAATCCTAGGCATGATACTAACAAGATTAATAACAAACCCTAGCATGTCACTATAAATTAAAGATCAATTAGCCCTAACATGATACTAACATGATATTAGGAAAGAAATAGGAAGCATCATAATAATACTAAAAATATTATTTAACCCTAAACATGATATTAGGAAGCAATAAAACATCCTTACTTGATACTAGGAATAACCAAAACAATCTAAGCATGATTTCTATATCAAAAGAATAATAATTTAAGCAATTACTTACTTCGATTTCTCTTACCTCTTTCTAATAAAAAAATACACATGTTAGTAATTTCAAGGAAAATATTAAACCAAACAATTAAATTAAATAATTGAAATAGGGATTTAGGACCAAACCATCTGAAATATTAAACCTTTCACCTCTAGGGCTAATGCAACTTCGAACTTGGGTAGGTGTGTCTAGAACTAATGTATGAGGAATTTTGAGAGAGGGAAGGTTTAGA